CAAACTAGCAGTGATCAAAACTCTCTTCCATCGTGCAGACCACATTATCACCTTCAGACCAAGCCAAAACGGACGACCATAGACACCTCAGAGGTGCCCTGGCTAAGTATGGCTACCAAAACTGGACTTTCAACAAAGCGCTCAAACCTTCGGATAAGTCTAAGAAAACCCAGAAGTGCAAACCATTGACCAACAAAAACAAGGTCAACATCACTATTCCGTATGTCCAAGGAGTATCTGAGAAACTTCGACGGATCTTCCAAAACTTCAACATAGCCACTAACTTCAAACCTCACTCAACCCTCAGACAAAGACTGGTACACCCTAAGGACCGACCTCACAAAGGTACCAAGGCGAATGTTATTTACAGACTCAAATGTGAGGAGCCCAATTGTAACAACACCTACATCGGAGAGACAAGTCGATCGCTCAAAGTAAGATACAAAGAACATTGCCGACCTAGTGCCAACGGCTACTCCTCAGCTATTTTCCACCACCTACAACACAACCAGGGCCACTCTTTCAAACTCGAGTCCACTGATATCTTAGACCGCGAAACACGCTGGTGGGAACGGGGTGTTAAAGAGGCAATCATGATATGAAAGAATGTACAACCCCACCCTCAACAGGGAAGGGGGGCTACGGGGCGATCTTTCCGGCACAAGGCTTGTTGTTTGGCACTCCCAGCCCCGAGGACAGACAACACTAAAGCTCCTGTTCTGTATAATAGGGGCTTTCTGTCTAATTTGCATTATCTTGTCTTGATTTGTCTGACGTCGACTTTTGTTCCTTTTTCGACTTCCAAAACATTTGTCTTCACTTTATTTGCATATCAATCAGTAGGTTGTGCTTATAAACCTGCATTTCCCCTCTGGTCCCTCAGTCACTGACGAAAGCTAGTGGATACTAGCTGAAACGTCTGACGTTTTCAAAATCATATCCAGTTGCTTGAGTAACTGCTTTTTGGCGTGTTAACTATTGGTTTATATCTGAGGCACATCCACACAAAATCACAGATCATTTGGGTATAATACTTAGCCTGGGTGCCATCCCCAGTAGTATTCGCCCGCTCTATAATGTCACAACCAGTGGTAGCTAGCGACATTATAGAGCGGGTGAATACTACTGGAGATGGCACCCAGGCTATATGATACTAGTACCAGGTGACCGTTTTCTCAATAGGTGGCGCTGAAGTCTCAACACTCTTGGATACTCACCTAGCTAGTGCGTTTCACTATCATCAGTCAGTTTTATTGTTTTATGTAGCCCGGGGAACACACCTCATTGTCTAGACTGTGACCTGTGAGAACTGTACCTTGTACATGTAGGTATGTCCTGTACAATGTGAATCATTGATAAGTCCGAAATACAATCACAGGACTATTTGTTGACATTGTCAAGCACTGAGGGGGCGTTTACGTTTGTTCTACACTTAAAATTTCGCTCCGTCATTGTGACAAGTCTCGCTGCAGGCAGCTTTACAACCTTGCAATTGTTTGAGAGTGATTGAGGAGCTCATTTAGATGGTCAGTGCCAAGAGCCTGAAAAATGTAGTGGCAAACTGTCTCCACTGGCACTATTTGGCCAATTTCTACCTTTTCCATGCTGCCCTCCTCAGGCCACAACAAGTAAATTTTATGGATGACATCCCCCGTAGACTCCAAATCTTATGCGAGTGGGTAAAAAAAACAAGGCGGGCCAAAAAAAACAAGGTTCCTACATTTTAAAATTTTGACGCAAGTCATTGTACAGATGGTTTGGATTCAGTGGGAACATCACATATACACAGCCAACATCACATATCACTGCATCAAAGTGAAAAACAAAACATCAGAGCTTTTTCTTGTCTCCTCTCTTTATAGTTATCTGTCGGCGTGGCAACAGACATCTTTGCCCAGCCATCCACAGAAGGATACATCATATCACAACCATTTCGAAACACAAGTTGCTCAGCAGGTGGTTAAACCCCTGACCATGATTTGCAAATCAAGCCTTGAGTCTTCTGAACTACCAGAACAGTGGAGAGAGGCCAATATTACCCCTATTTTTAAAAAAAGGGAGTAAAGAAGACCCAGCAAATTATCGACCGGTATCCCTGACCTCAGTAATTTGCAAGATGCTGGAGAGGGTAATTTCAGACACAGTAATTGAACATATCAAGTTAAATAACTTGGCGTGCCCGGAACAACATGGTTTTTCTAAAGGGAAGTCTACGGTTACAAATTTGTTAGAGGCTCTTGATGTTTGGACAGAGGCACTTAGCCATGGCTTACCCGTTGACGTGATCTTTCTTGACTATGCTAAGGCATTCGATACAGTGCCACATGAGCGTCTACTTGGAAAAATTGAGTCCTTCGGCGTGGGCAAGAGTTTACTTAAGTGGATCCGAGGCTTCTTGACCATGAGGAGACAAAGGGTTGTAAATGGGGAAAGTTCGAGCTGGAAACCTGTCACTAGCGGAGTTCCGCAGGGCTCAGTTTTAGGACCCTTACTCTTCATGATATTTGTGTGTGACATTCCAGAAAGTCTGCATAACTTTGTGTCAATGTTCGTAGATGACACTAAGATTTACACGACTGTTCAAGAGTGTGAAAAAAGTCAACATCTTAGATGTCTGCAAGCTGACTTGAACATCTTACAGGAATGGTCTTTCAAGATGCAGATGAAATTCCACCCAGACAAATGTAAAGTTATGCATCTTGGAAAACGCAACCCTCAACACAATTATACAATGATGAAAGAGAATGGTGTAGCCCACACACTGAGTACTATAAAGGAGGAGAAAGATCTGGGGGTATTGATTGACCATAAATTGACCTTTACTCAGCATGTCCAGGGACAAGTCAATAAGGCAAACAAAGTATTAGGAACCATTAAGCACACTTTCCGATACTTGGATGTGGAATCGTTTTTGCTCTTGTATAAAAGCCTTGTTCGACTCCACCTCGAATATGCGAGCGTTACTTGGAGTCCAAAAACAAAGAGGGATCAGGACTCTCTGGAGAGAGTGCAGCGTAGGGCAACGCGCCTCGTGCAATCCATTTCACATCTGCCATACCCCGACAGACTTAGAGTATTGGGATTACCAACACTGTACTTCCGTAGGCTGAGAGCCGATGTGATTGAGGTGTACAAGATCTCACATGGATTTGATAAACTGCGGACAGAAAATCACTGTAACCTCTGTAACAGGTCAATGTTCACGCCCAGTTTATCTAAAAAAAACTAGAGGGCATGCCTACAAGTACCAGGTACAAAAATCAAATGGACCCAGGTCCAACTTCTTCCCTGCAAGAACAACCCCAATTTGGAATAAACTGTCACCAGCCACAGTAAACAGCATCTCAGTAAATGTATTCAAGACCAAGTTGGCTATAGAGTGGAAGGATCACCCTGATAGATACGGATACGTCGTCTCCTACTGAATGCCCAAACTGTCTACACCACGAAGACGGCCTCATTACCCAGTAACTTAGGTCACATTTGAAACGGCGCCCGTTCGGCATGTCCTCGGTGTAGACGCCGGCCGGCGTCATGACGCCGAGCGTGCGCCGTACTGTCAGGGTCACAATTAAATGTTCCTTTACGGCTCCCTATCGGGGCCTGGTTGTGCTCCGGCCGGCGGCTCTCATTAATATTCATAAACTTTTGCGGCCGGTTTCTGTCAGGGACGCCTCCGGTGCCCGGTCAGTCGCCCGTCTTGACCCGTGCTGCGTGTGGTAGGATGCCGACCGGCTCTTACAGTTCGGTCGGGCATCTGTCAGGTCCCTGGCGGGTTCCTGGCGGGATCCCGACGGGCTCCTCTCGTGTTTTTGAGCAGGTACATATATAAGCGCTGCACTGCCTGCTACCGTTCACTTGTTTTGTAATGTACGACACGTCAAGTAAAGAGTACACTGAAGACTGAAGTTGGCGATGCAGCGTTCAGTGCAACCTGCAGACAACTTAAAAGCCCGTCTGAAAGTTGAGATTGGTGATAGCGCATCACCAGTACAACCTACATGTAGGTCTTCTGGCATTGGTAGCCGGAGAAGAGAGGCAGGCAGAAACGGTGCGTCGCAAAAGTCACTGAGGGCCTACTTTCGAAAGTACTTCAACAGTGACGCAGGAAGTACTTCAGCAGTGACGCAGGAAGTGTGCTGTGGCAGCTCCTTGCTATTGAGCAATAAAACCACTGAATATCGTTACTTCTGTTGAAATTTGGACTGAAAATGAATGCCAATAACTTCTGCTTCCATTTCATTACGAAGGCATGTGATGTAACAAGAGATAATGTCAGACACATTCTATTCCTGCTATGATCTGTTTTATGAAGCTGGCAAGAGAGCCGTGCCGGCTGTTTTCCCTTGCCCTTCAACATTCTGACACACAAATACAAGGTGTAACACACACAAGTACACGATGTAACACACACGTGGTGAACTGTGCGACGTAGTCTGAGGCAGGAGTTTATTATGCTCCCTATAACCCCCTTTTCCTGACCATCTGATGCACTGATCAGCACATGTGACGTCATAACCTTAGGCAGGTGCCTGTTCGGCCGCCCGACGGGTCCCGGGCAGTGAGGTTACGGCGTCGCTTCGGCGTATTTCACCGAACGGGGACCGAAGTTTAACTCTGAGTTAATCGATTCGGCGACCGCGCGGGGCCAAAAATAGGCCGGCAGCCGTCGGGAAGCCCGCCGGTCTCCGTCCAGGTCCCGTTCGGTAGTGCCAAAAAACACGCCGAACACGCGCCGAGCGGGCCCCTTTCTTGAATTGTGACCTAAGCATAAGCCAACGCCCGTGTTTTCATTCTTCCCCCACATTTTGGGCGCGGTGACGAGCGTTGTGGAAATTCGGCCCACGTCCCTACCGTTAAAGGAACGCTCCATCAAAGTTCGGCCAGTGTGACCGGGCTAAGGTCGCGCAAAGGGCGCCGCGCCCTGGTGGCACCGTGCTGGTGGACGGGGGTATAAATGATTAACTGTCACGTAGTACACGTAGAACGTCTAGCTATAGTTCAGTCTGAACCACCTGCAAAAAACATGGCTACAGTTCGGATGGCTGCAAGACTTTTTCTAGTGGCAGTGTTCATAGCGACAGCGTTCGGCAAACCAGGTACGAGTATCTAATGAGTTTTGTTCAATTTGGTAGGTATATATAGAATACAACACGGGGTATTCCGTATCGCCCGAGGTATCGGCCCGACCGCGGGTCGGATCGCCCACGGCCGCAGGCTGGAGGGCGATCCGACTCGCGGGAGGGCCGGACCGAGGGCGATGCGGAATACACCGTGTTGTATTCTATATTTATGTCATACCCACCCAAGAACACACGCCTTTCAATGCATGATGATCATATGAGCCAAAAGTTGGTGACACTAAACCCTAAAATGCAACAACATCAATTCCAACGTCCGGATTCTGTATTCGAATTTTTCGAAAGGGGCACACGCGGTTGGGGCGAAACGCGTTCGAACCGTTTTATGGAAGCCATGGAAGCGTTCGATAACGGGTTCCGGAGCGGGCCGTACTTTACGGTATGGCCCGGTCCGGAACCCGTTATCGAACGTTATCGCGGCCCGGGTATAAGGTTGTGTATACGTAGTCGCGTGTTTGTGTCGCATATTTAAACGTGAAGACGCGTCAAGAGGACTCGTTTACAAGAAGATAAATCAATAATTCTGATTTTTAGGTAGGTTTTGAATTGAAAGGTTTTGTCTGATTTCTACTTTGGATTTACCGTTTTTTAGCATTTCACCGAACAAACACACACACACACACTGCTCACACATACGGACGTTAGTCTAGCCTATGTAACTTAAGGGATTGAAAACAACAGAGTGTCGAGTGTGCTGTGTTCGCCAACCCTACACGTGAGAGCATTTCCCCAAACACGGGTACATGTAAATGGCATGATCACAGCGTGCTAAGCACCTGACACACGGTGGTTCGTAAATGATTCCATTGTCTTGTGGTGGAAAAGGTAGCAGTGCGCGTGAGTCGACGGTAGGTCTTGTAAATCCTATATAAAGTATAAGATTATGATCTAAAAGACAACAAAACACACAAAACCCAAAACAATCATCATGGAATTCTTTGAAAACATTTTCTCTAGAAGCAAAAAAAAAAACTTAACATAAACAGTAACATTGGACTTAGTCCTGTGTAACTGGGAGCAGTGTTGACTTTGTAGGAAGAGGAAATCGACGAACAGTTTCTGTTAATGAATGATTGACTGATATACTAGTAGGTGACGCTGTTCAAATAGGCGGAGCCAGTAAGAACGGGGTTAGCTGTAGTTAGTTTAGTTTGATCACTCGTGAAAGAAAGATGGCAAACATACATCTACCTACATACATGTACGTCTAACATCTAATAGTAGTGACTGCACGTAAAGCCCTTTGTGTAAATAATTTGGCAGACGTTTTCTGATGAACAAGTCGTCAGTCATACTTCATCGCCGTCAGTGTCACACTGACAACAAACATCTCATATCAGACGATGTTCAAACCAAAATGGTGGGAGCATGAGCAAACCTTTTTATTTACATTTCTCTGACAGCCTACGATGACTCTTCTGACGAGGACCATTCGGCGCATCTGCTAGCGCGCAGTGCGCATGCACAGTCAAGAGCAACAGCACCCACCGACCAGGAGCGCACGCCCGAGTACTGGAGCGACATGGCGCGGGCGTCCCTCGCCGCCGCTCTCCGCCTGCAGACCTTAAACACGAACGTGGCCAAGAACGTGGTGCTGTTCCTGGGAGACGGGATGGGCGTCTCCACGGTAACCACGGCCCGGATCCTGAAGGGACAAAAGGCGGGAAACCCGGGAGAGGAGACCGTGTTGGCCATGGACTCTCTACCGTACACTGCTATGTCTAAGGTCAGTGATATGCGACAATACTTCGTGCCCTTGCGAAAGAATTTCCTAAACACAGACTTATGTACCATGGATTAACGTGCATCACGAATATTAGTTCGTCGACCGTCCTCAATTACTCTGAGCACGTGAGTCCTTTGGGGCACTTAAGTAATCAATCGTAGTTGCCTGGTAAACGATATCGACCCCCGTCTGGGCTGAGTGTTGGCTCTAAAACAGATAGCCTCCTTTACTCCTCTCAGTATGAATGATTAGGAAGAAAAGTTATGCATAGCCTAAAATTGGACTACATCTCTTTATCTCTTTATTCTTTATTTCAAGCGCAATTGGCCCATAGTAGACAAACAATTAAAATAACAAGGTGCACACATAGTAAAAACGGTAGGGTTCGGTACATATACAAACGAGAAGGGCCTTACCGGTAGACTAGGCCGATATAGTGATCCCAGTAGTGACTGGTGGATGATAAGTCTGAGTGGATTGCGAGTTTTATGATTCTGTTATTACTGTTGAGGAGCCGATTGGTGAAAGAGTGTGTTAGTTTACGTCTGCGAGCATCGAAGGTATCGACAACCTCAGTCACAAACATTCGACTGGCGCTCTCGAATTTTCCATATGAAAACAATATTCTAAAGACGTTGTTATAAGCCGTTCGGAGTTTGCGAATAGCGCCCAGAGTGTAGCGTGTCCACAACTGGGCGCAATACATAGAGGAACAGTATGCGTTGAAAAGCGTGCGCTTCACTTCTGTAAAGGCAAACTTAAATTTACGAACTAAGGAATTGGCTCTGGTGTAGAAGCCTCTGATGTGAGTATTAACTCGTCATCAGACAGGTTGGTAGTTATCTGGTTGCCCAGGTAGTTCACAGAAGAAACATACTGTAGGTTAGTTCCATAAAGCCTTACTGAAGGGGGCGCACAGTTCAACCGAAGTCTGTCACATGGAAAGTACATACAATGGCTCTTCTTTTCGCTGAAGAGAATATCGTTGCGATCACCAAAGCTTTCACAAATCGAAATAAGTTTTTGCAGTCCTTTAACAGAAGGACAAATAATACATATGTCGTCTGCATACAAAAGATGGTTCACAATAGTACTGCCAATATAGCAGCCAACACAGCTCGAGTTCAGCTCAACACTAAGGTCAGAAATGTAAACATTAAAGAGAAAGGGAGACAGTAGGCTACCCTGTGGCACACCGTAACTTACAGTAAATTTGTCAGAAAGGGAGCTGCCCCAACGCACCCTAAAAGTCAGAGTATTATACCAGACTACGAGTAGCCGGACTATGTACAATGGAACGTGCCTATCAATTAGTTTTTTAAAGAGTGACCAATGATTGACTAGGTCAAACGCTTTTGCGGCGTCGAGGAAACATACAAACACGGGGGAGCCACGGCTCTGATAGTAACTGATTACCTCCTTCAACGCAAACACACACATGTCAGTGCCATGGTTTTTCTTGAAGCCAAACTGATTATCCGGACTATGTAGGTATTCCTCTAGGCGCTGTAGAAGCAAAATTTCCAGAGCTTTACAAAACGGGCTGGCAACCGCTATTGGCGTAGTTATCTCTATCAGTCACACTACCATTCTGTTTTTTGATGATGGGAATCATAACGGTACTGAGTAGCCTAGATGGAATGTACCCATGCCGGAGCACCGCAGAAAATAACAAGGACAGTAATGTGGACAGCCGGGGACCTGCATATTTCAGGTGCTCATCAGCAATCCCGTCAACATCACACGATTTACCATTGGTCAACTTGTTGATTGCTTCTGATACCTCGTCTACTGATACATACATTCCTGGGTTGTCAGCAACACCTGACTCAACTTTGGTATTTACAGAATTCAACAGTGTACTGTAGTGGTTCTTCCACATGTTAGAAATCTCCGACATCCCGGAGTGACCATCTACGGTACAGGGGAGACTAGGTCTGGTGCTGTTCTGGGAACGAAGGGCTGACCAAAAGCCCTTACTTCCCCCCTTATCTAAACTCTGTGCCAATGAGTCGGCCCGGAGTTGGGCTTCGTTCCGACGGCATTGTCGGAGAGAGTATTTAAATTTTGCCCTTGTAGTACGCATAAGTTCCCAAAAGACACCATGTTTGGGTCGACCATTCTCGCACCACAAAGTAAATGCGGCTCTGGCAGCACTATGACTTTCCTTGACAACATCATTCCAACCGGGAACCGAATGAGACGTAGTAGATTTTCTGCTAGGAATGGAATCTTTGGCAGCTTCCTGCAGAGCTGTAATAATCACATTACAGAATTGATCTAAAGAGTCCCTGTGGTTCTATAGCCACAATGGCTACTTACTGTATCATTAGACATGTGTATCACGTTTCCTTTGTAGACCTACAATATCGACGCGCAAGTGCCCGACTCAGCCGGGACTGCCACGGCGTTCCTGTGCGGGGTGAAGGTGGAGGGCGGGGTGGTCGGCGTGGACGGGAGAACACGGTACGGCAACTGCAGTTCCTCCAAGGGTCGCGAGGTAGAGTCCATCATCGTGCACGCAGAAAGAGCAGGTGTGCCCATGCTAGAGAAATTACTGTAATGATAGTTCATCTGTGTTGGTAGTTTAAAGTTAAAACTTTGGTTCCAACACAAAGAAATGTTTTCACCTATAGTTTGTGACCAGTCACTCTGGTCTTCTTCAATAGACTGACTCAATGAGGTTTGTCACGTGGCTTCTCTGAAGTGCGGCGTCAACACTGGGTCAAAGGTATCTGGTAAACGATATGTGCTTGAAATAACACATGTCTTGTTAAGAGCTTGGACAGATCGATATATATCAGATAAGGACACTTTACTGACCGAAGAATTGGTTAAGTTTGTTTTACGGTTCCGTTTGCAAGGGAAGTCGACAGGAATCGTCACCACCGCCCGAGTGACCCACGCCACGCCGTCGCCGGCCTACGCTCACTCCGCCGCACGCGGCTGGGAGGCCGACAGCGACCTGACCGCCGAGGCCCGGGACAACAACTGCACCGACATAGCCTATCAACTGGTGGAGGAAGCGCCCGATATAGAGGTACCAATATTAATGCTGGGAAAACATATTATTTTTGCTGTTTCCTCTTCGTCCGTTCCAAACACAATGACAAGAACCAGACGTCTGTCACCATGGTTACTGGTGTTGGGTTACATCATGTTGCAATTTCATAGCAGGAGGGATTTAGACTCCTGTCACCATATATATATATGGATGTGTTTGAGTAAGAATTAAGAGAGCAGACCATATGCGAAGGTAAACATTATGCATTTACTTTGCAAATGTTACCTTTCTAGTTAAATTTGATTTAACTGGAAATGTTACAGATGAATATAATGACTTGACAGGAAGCCTTAAACACCAAGATGGCGGACGCTGAATAGTCACGTGACCACAAACACGTCTGCCTATTTGCCTATCAGGTTATTATGGGAGGTGGAAGACGGAAGTTCACGCCCCGGAGCATGGCGGATCCGGAATCCGGATCCGGAGATCGAGACGACGGCGTAGATCTGATCCAGCGCTGGCAGGACAGTAAATCCGGAACGGCACGCTACGTCTGGAACGGAACAGACTTCAGAAATGTCGACCCGGACTCGACGGATTACCTTCTAGGTCTGCATACTTGTACTGTTACTATTCAGACATGGATTCAATGTTATGTCACATCTGTACATATTTATTGTGTTTTGTAAATGTTACTGGTGTATATAGTCATTCATTTTGCTGGCACAGCAATAAGCACAGTCATATAAAACGCATGCAAATGGCCCGTTATTGCTGTGGTTATTTGTGTTGACAGATATGTTTTGTTGTTGCTATTTGTGTTGACAGGCCTAGCTGTTTGTTGTTGTTATTTGTGTAAACAGGTCTGTTTGAGAGCAGTCACATGAAGTTCTCTGCTGACCGCACCTCAGACCCGGCCGAAGAGCCGACCATCGCTGACATGACCAGGAAGGCGATTCAAATCCTCCAGAAAAACACAAACGGTTTCTTCCTGCTAGTTGAAGGTTACTGAGTTATTCTATTGTTGTTTTTGTTTTATTGTACAGTATTTGATATCCTGCTATTGGCCTGTCATTGTCTGTGTATTATTTTTACCCTCTCGTGTGCCTCATAAAGAATTTCACATAGGCAAGATGTCGCCAGTTAAATGAGGATTCTGGACATGTCACGATCGAACGATCCAATGTTTTAATGACACGAGATCGTGTGTTAGAGTCCTGTATTGCTATAATCAAAATTATTTCTTTTGTCCAGGAGGCCGAATTGACCACGGCCATCACGGGGCCACGGCAGTCAAAGCTCTAGAGGAAACCGTGGCGCTTGATGACGCTGTGCAGGTACGTCATTACAATGGGTTAACGTTAATATAGCGCCACAGTCGTTGACGCTTGGGAATCAGTTGAACATAGGAGAGTCCGACCCTTAGATTTGTATGCAAACCACTGGCATAGTGGACAGCACGTATATCATGAAGTAATGACTGTAATTACATTTACAACTTCAGATTTACTTTGCAACCTCTAGGTTTAACCACCCATCATGGCCGACAATACTTACGTCATGGTCACGTGGGTGCAAACATCCTATCCTGTTGAGCATACATAACGCCGTCTCTTTCTCTTCACCACAGGTGGCTAAAGACATGCTGAGCACGTCTGACAGCCTGATTGTGGTGACGGCGGACCACTCCCACACACTGGCGTTTGCGGGCTACCCTGACAGGGGACACCCCATATTTGGTATGGTTCAACTCCATATTTGGTATGGTTCAACTCCATATTTGGTATGGTTCAACTCCATATTTGGTATGGTTCAACTCCATATTTGGTATGGTTCAACCCCATATTTGAGATAGTTCAACTCCATATTTGGTATGGTTTAACTTCATATTTTGTTTGGGGACACCCAATGTTCGGGACGATTATAAGACAGTATACAGGGTCGGGTGTGAGTGTCTGTGCCTGTCTCCGCAACTCCTAACATACCAAATATATCACTGCTATTTTTGCGTTGTGTGTTAGTCCGTCCCTCAGTCTATCTGTGTGTACACAATTTGTTGAAGGCTGCCTGATCTCTGATTACCACATGTTCATCACCGTTTCAGGGAAAAACGTGTACAAATACTCCAATCCTGACTACACCTGGGACGGTCTGCCGTACACCACCCTGCTGTACGGGAACGGCGCCGGGTACGGACTGGAGGAGACCACCCGGGGGAACACCACGCACGTCACACGGCAGAACATCACCGACGTCAATACAGGTACGGGCTGTCTGGAGTGTGGGGTCGTGTGGCGCAACGGCAGAGTGCTCGACACAGACTTAAAACCAAGAGCTCCCGGGTTCGTGTGTCCTACCATGATCGCCGATCGTGTTCCCTTGAGAAAGGCACTTTACACGACTTTCCTCACTTAACTCATGTGAAAATGAGTATTGACCATGCTTGAATTTTCCAAATAACGTTTCTGACCTGAAACCTTCCTCGTGTCAAATAGAATACTATCCAAGCAGAGGTTGGTGGGGGAAGATTGTGGCTTCTAATATTCCTATTTTTTCTGTCTCTACTGTGAAGGCTTCTGTACATTGAGTCTTACAGAAAATGAAGTCAGAACTCTGTCTATCATGTACAGCGGATAAGGAGTACAGACAACAGAGCGCCGTCCCGCTCCAGAGTGCGACGCACGCGGGGGAAGACGTCATCATCATGGCGGACGGACCCATGGCACACCTGTTCCACGGCGTGCAGGTCAGGAGAGTACAGCTTCATCTGTACATGTAGTGTAGAGGAAGTTGCACACTTACGTCTGAGTGTTCTCCTTACACTGTTGATAGATTTGCAATGAATAGTTGAAGGCATGCAAAAACAGTTTCCTATACAATTTGTTCAAAGCGCACTTGCAATACCGGGTATAGTTGTGATTTTGCCAGGTCCGGGAAGTATGTGCCGTTTTCAAAGTCAAAGACAAGGGTAAGGCGAGATAAAGTTGCACTGTCTGCTCTTTTTTTTACGTCTTTTCTAAGTTCCTAAAGCTATCGTCGGAAAGGAGTATGGGATGCCAGCAACGCGATGTTTTTTTGTTACTTCGACTCGATTGCTTATTCAGCACCAAGGACATGGACATTGGTGAACTGGTTTTGTTTTCATGTAGAAAATAATTTCTTTTGTTTTCTTGGCAGGAGCAACACTACATCGCCCATGTGATGATGTACGCAGCCTGTCTGGGGGAGTATACGGACCA